TCGGCGGCCCGGCTCTGCGGCAGCTGCTCGCCCCTTCGCATCTCTCAGTCCTCCCGCGGAGCAGCTCCTCGCACTTCTCTCCGTGGGATCTCAGCTTGTCGGTTTTGGACGACATCTTTAGGTTGTCAAGACGGTTTTCAGCCCAGAGCTCGTCCTGCCCAGCACTTCAGGTCCCTCCCAGCTTGCTGCCACCCGCCATTTTGGTGACCCCATGCTCAGGGAAATGTGGGCTACCTGAAGCCATCGCCGGTGGAAGTGCCCTCCTCTGGCACGGCCGCTGCCCATCGGCGCGTCCTGTCGCCCACTGCTTCTGGGGCGCAGCTGAGCCATCCCCCGGTGCTCCTCTGCGGGGCGCGGTTCGTTAGTTTGCTGACGAGGGCCTCGCAGGAGCCGTGCTGAGAGCCTCGGTGGGATCGAGGCACGCGGCATTTACCGCTCCGCCATCAGAGGAAGGGCCCCCGCTGCGTTGGTGTCATCCTAACGGCCCATTTCTTATCGCCGTCCCATCCCTTATGGCCGTCCCGTCCCCCGGGGCACGTGCAGTGACGGGCTGGTGCCGTGATCGGCGTCGCCCCGGGAGCGGGCGCCAGGGTGGGACGGCAGCACGGCCTCAGGGACGATTCCCTGCCAGCTTCTAAGAGCGGGTGCTGGGGCCACCCTTCTCCAGACCGGGTGCCCCTCCACGTCCCTTCCTTGGCTCTCCTCCCCGCCGCTCTCCTCCCTTTGTTAATGTCGTTACGTCCCCGCTCACAACCGACCTTTCCATACGAAGGCTGGGGCAAAGCCGGTTTCTCTGTATCCTTGATTATTTCACCCCCTTTCCCCATTAAGTTACGGATCTTTATTTCCCCCTGTCTCCCCCTCCCTTCCAGTACTTCTCTACAGCACACCGGATCCTTTCCTCGTTGCCCTTGGCGTCCCTTGCTGCTCGTGACTCAGTCACGCCGTGGTCTTTGGATTGTAGCCCACCTGCTTCTGCCATTTCTTTACGTCCACCTGGGATCGCGCGCCCTTCGCGGCTTGCTTTTTGATTTCCTGGTCCTTAAAAAGCAGCTGGTGCAACTGCAATGGTACGCGATGCCTTCTCCCTTTCCTCTTCAAAGTAACTCTTAAGCGGCTCGAGTTATTCGGGGGTCTGGCGACGGCGTGTGCGCGGGTGGTGCCCACGCAGCGGCAGCGTTCCCGGGGGCTCTCCGGTGTCACCTCCTCCGCCGCCGCGGCTGGACC